TAATGATGAGATGGATGACTTCAGCTCACCTTACATAATCAATGGATTTGGAATCCCTCCTTCTCCAGCAAATTTCATAGCACCAGGTATGAACTATAAACTACATTTCTGACTCCAGCTTTTGGCTATGACTTGCGTATTAATGCTGTGGTGTCTGCAAGGTAGGCTGCAGTACCTCTCCCATCAGGCACAGAGCTGGGCCTTTCTGCAGAGGATGGAAAGTCATCTGGCATCCCTGGCAAAAGCACGCAACCAGCCCCTGGTGCAGTCCTGAAGGAGAGGCTGTCTAAAGATCAACTTTTGTGTCTGACTCCTTCCAACAGCCAGAAATCCTTTCCCTGGGAGCTCAGCACATGTCAGATGAAATTACTTAGAGCTGCAAAAGATTTCTTTGAACTGATTTAAGAGGGAGGCAGCAGCAGGAGCTAACTACAAAGTGTTAGATGGCACTGCTCAGCCTTCTCCCTGTGCTGCCTTGGCAGCTGTAAGACAGCTTTGAGTAGATACAGCTCACATATCTAACCCAAGCAATCTGCCTGCTCCACTACTGTTTCCTGCAGACCCATATAAATGCTACTAAAGAGGCTGGGATTCTGCTAACCTGTGTTTTGGAGAGAGACAGGGAAATGAAAGGACAGGAAGGAATGTGCCATAGCATATTGGAGGCAGCTGCATCACAGACAAGCCCAGCTGGGACAGGACTGTGAGGAAAGGTACCCTCAGTCTCTGTGAAGAACCAGGGCTGAGTTTGCATCGCAGGAGCATGAAGGAGATGGGTACAGGGAACAGTGGGATCTCCAAGGGCTGACAAGACACATGAGCTGAGTCAGGAAGGTGGATACTGAGGCTCTGGGTTCAGACATGGGGGCAGGAGCTGGCAGTTCATAAGATGCAGGTGGAAAGCTGAGCCTGTCTTGCACCTCTGACCCCAACAGGTAAACAGCCGATGTCCTCTATGTGCCCCTCCATCTTGGTGGATAAAATGAAGAAGGTCAGGATGGTGGTTGGTGCTTCTGGAGGAACAAAAATAACCACAGCAACAGCACTGGTACGTGATGATGTGGGAGAACAGGTGACACAGCTAAGGCCAAACAAGGTGGGGGAGAGGCAGTGTTTGGGGTAAGGGGCTGAAGTCTGCACCTACTACACCATGGCTATAGCTCTGTTGTGTGCCAGGGGCTTGAAAGGGAGGTTCCTACCTGGCCTCCTGCAGGCTAGACCTCCATCTGCAGCTCCTGCCCCAGCTACAAAGGTAATCACTTCCTTCAGGGACTCCAGGTCTTTTCCTTTGACAAGTTGTTCTTACCACTTGCAGAAGATTTTTGGCTTCAATTTAGCTTCGACTTCTGTTCCTGGATCTCCATGAACTAGTCTCTTTAGCTACTTTAGAACCATTCCCTTCCAAAATCCCGAACTTTGGATGAAAGTTACACAGAAAAGCTGAATAAGACTTTACGCCAGGTATGGTCTCAGGCCATCTGACAGGCAGGCTCTCTGTGGGCTGCTGTGGCAGCCATTCAAATGCCCAGCTAGCCTAGAAGTGAATGTAGGAGAAAGCTGTCTCCTGTGCCAGCACACACAGTTGTGCACATCACGTCAGGCTGGATCTTGCTTTCTGGCTCAGGTAAAGACGTCTCTGTAAAAACCGCTACAAGCAGCTTTCTAGCTCTTCATCCCAAAGCTGTTTTCATTTGCCAGCAGCTCCAAATTGCAATTTAATCATGTGGAAATGAATCAGGTTTAAGGAAACTGGTTGCACAGTAACAGGAGGCTGTAGCTGTGTTTGCTGAGGTGACTGCTGTGTGTGTCAGCCAGCACTAGCTTAATCACAGCACCATAAATCCAGCTACAATAGCTTGATGATCTGATCCTTTTACTATGTTAGTAACTCATAATCTCTTTGTGTGGGAATCCTCCTCAGCATATATAAAATGGCTTGCTGTACCTGTGGTTTGGTTAGCTGAGAGAGGAACCACTGAAAGCATCCAGAACCATAAAGTATGCCTTTAATGATCTCTTGTGAACATTCTTCAGATAACTCTGCCTATGTTGCTACAAGGGTTAGGCTTCTATGAAGACAAGTAACTAACACTGAGGCTTTTTGCTTCTTACAGGCAATCATCAATACCATCTGGTTTGGCTATGATGTGAAGAAAGCCGTGGAAGAGCCAAGAATACATGATCAGCTGTTTCCCAGTATCACGGAGCTTGAGCAGGAAATAGAGGAGGTTTGTCTAGCTGGAGTCTGGGGTGTGTGAGCTTGTATGGCCTGGGTTCCTAGTTTTGGGAAGACAGGCTTGTGGAAAATCACAACGCTTTGCCAAATGCTCCTAGGTGAGCAGTACTGAAGCTGACACAGGTTAAGTACTGTTCGGAGTGTACCTTTAATCTCAGTCCCATGGGTTTGAAGGGGTGCATTCGAACATGACCTACATCTGAAACTGAGGGTACGTATTTTTTTACACTGTTGTTTGGCTCACAAAACTTGCAAATCACAAAACCACATCAGGGCCCCAACCATTCAGCAGTCTAAATCCAGTGACCCTCAGGAAACGCTTGTCCTATTGCACAACCTCCCAGTTGTGCCGGCACAGAGCGCAGGAGGATGCATAAAGGGACATGAGAACAAACCTGGAAATCTTTTCCCAGCAAAGGTGACTGCGCAGCACTGTTGATGTGAGAGCCAATGGCAACATCTGCCTAGCCCTGCGTACCACTCACCTGAGCTGGCAGCTTCCTTCACCCTGAGGAATTACATGTCCCAGAGGCCTGAGACTGATGAAGTATTTGTATATCTCTCATCTCATGCCTCTATTACTCCTACATATGGCAGTTTTCTTCATCAAACTATGCAGAAGATCTTCCTTTAATGAGCATCTTATTGAGGTAACAGCCGAGATGCCTGCCTGCACTGTGGAGGATGCCCTGCTCTATACAAGTCCTGTGTTTTCCCCATTCCCAAACAGGATCAGTCAGCTCTGGCTGTTTGCATATGAATATCAGATGCTCCATGACCAGGAACAGTATTGGTAGCTCACACTAAGCACCACAAATGCCACATCTTCCCAATTCCACCTCCTCAAAAGCAGGGCATGCCAGTGGAGAGGAGGAACAGCATGTAGTTTTAGATTCACCTAATACAGCCATCTGGGTAGTCACAGAGGATGCAGGTTGCGGCACGTGTGCAGCTCCTCTCCCATTGTCCTCATTCACTTCTGCATTCCAGGGTATAGAAGAAGAACTAAGGAAGAGGAAACACAACACCACGCGGGTGAGCGGTGGTGCAGTTGTGCAAGCCATTCTCAGAACAGACGAAGGATGGGCTGCAGCCTCTGATTCCCGGAAAGGTGGCTTCCCTGCAGGCTACTGATGTGGCTCGGCTCCTTTTTTCGATGGTCTAGTGACACTGAGGTGTGTTTGGGGGGAAGATCCTTTAGGTCTGCAACTCAGGGACTTCTCACAGGAAAGAACAAATTTACCTGTGGTTCTATTGACAGAGCTGGGACAGTTCTCTACAGCTATGACTGAAGTGCCTCATGCCACAGCAGCCTGCTGAGACAGGCATGTCGTATCAGGGCATGCAGTACTTACTTCAAAAGACTCTTTCACCTTGAAGAGTTTGCTCCCTGTCTCCTCTTCAGCACATGAACTGGGTACCCAGAGCTTCTGAATAAGCTCATTCGAGCTGCAGGAAGTGTTTCCCCTGCACAGTGTCAGCTACCAGGAATGTCCCTGTCACTGCTAGAGAAGAGCTGTTTTCTGTTGAGTAGGTGGGAGTTACAGGACTCTGGGGACTGGAGTTTTTTAAGTTACAAACTAATAGGTCTGTGCCTTAGCAGGAAGCCCAGCTCTAGACTGGGAGAAGCCTTCACAATCTCACTGCTCTTTCTTTTAACTAAAGATGTTTCTGCTTTTCACTTCAGTTGGTTATTGGAGGTGAGTGTGTAAGTGGGGAAATGGCTTCAAACTTTTTTATATTTCTGTTGAGAAGGTCTAAAGGGAAAATGCTACCTGTAAAACTCTGAGCACAACTAAATAAATGAACATGGAGTCACACATTTTCTTGCCTGCACAGTTGCTCCTGTGAGCAGGGATGGTGAGCCTGTGTGAAAGAAGCTCTCCTGAGGTATTTCTCTTTTCTTCAGTTAAATCTCCAAAACAAGGCTGTTTTTCTCCAGTTTGCTTCTTACCACATCAAACTGCAGGCCTGAAATACCAGAGTCTGAGGAAATGAAACCTCTAGAGAAGGGCACCCTGCAGCTACTTTTGTTAGAAGGTAAGTTACCATTAATCAGACAATGAATGACCTCCCAGAAACCCGTATCTGATCTGGAACAGCTAAGAGTGTAACTATGCGTGAGGAGGTTTTGGTGTTCACCTACCAGCATGGACTAATACTTGGCCTAAAAAAAAAGCCAACGGTTCCAGCATGTTGTCAAGCTCTAGGGATGTTTATAAGTAGCAGTAACTGAACTCAACTATTTGGCTTCTTGCAACTTCCCGTCAGTTTGGAAAAACCTTAAAATACAGAATGCACTGCAGAGAAAATGAAAGGCTGAGATTTTAGGAATCGGGCCTCTCTTTCCCAGCAGTTTCTGGAACTGAGGAGAGTCTACTTTTAAGGAATAAACTACATCATGCTTAAAGAGTCCTAACTTCAACATGGATATTTGCTTCTACCACTTCCACTAAATGAGAGGTTTTTACCACAGGTTGCCCAGGATGTGCTCTGTGCTCCTTTTTGCTAAGCTGTTACTGATGACAGTGTGTTAGATGCAGCGAAGGCAGTGGTGGTAAATTACCCAAAGTCATTGTGTTCCTCTAAGAATGAGAGTGGTTTGGGGACAAACCTGTATCCTTTTATCACTGAACTGAGTGCGCCAAGTCTCCAGAATGAGCAAGTGTTAGTTCTGGGAACACCTGCATCACAGTCCTCTCTCAAAAGCAGTCAAAAGCTTGGGTGTCAGGGGAGGCAGCAGTTTAAGGAGAAATTCCCAGACTGGTTTAAAACACTTTATTAAAAATATAATTTAAAGACTTCACCAGAAAATAGAGCGGCTTCTGTACAGTGATGCTTTAACAATCTGTGTAAGCTAAGTACAAAAATAACTCTCTCCTGTTGGCATGAACATGAATGGGGAGAGACCAGAGTCGGAGGCTCCTGACTCAAGCAGATCTCAGCAGCGGTGAGGAGGTGGCAGTATGAGAGCAGAGATCCTACGGGAGGTGCAGTTCCTCAGCTTCACCAGATGTTTGCTAGTGAGGACTACAGGACTGCTGCAGTGGGACACCCGCACTCTCATTCCTTTCCTTCTTGCAAATTAAAGCTCTGGTGGGTTTTATAAACTGCTTATTTGGCTCAGTTTCAGTGTTAGTAGCAAAGTTGTTAAATCGCAGTGAGCTCTGGACTACAGATAATATTCCCACACTTTCTTGGTGGGAAGCAGATGTGATACTGCTGTACTGTGGCAAGGTGATGGGCTGGATTACAGAAGTCATCAGAAGTGAATGCAATTGGAGGCTTAGTTACCTGGTGACTTGTTTTTTTTCTGCTACCCAGACATGATGGAGCATGGCCTAAGGCTGCCCAAAGCTTAAAAGGGAAGGGAGAGCCACTCTGCCTGTCTGCAGGCAGTGCTGTTCTCAGTTGGTTTTTGTAAACTCTAGCTCAGTTGGGCTGGCCAGAAATAACTTCAGATCTGGCTAAAGCCAGCATCTGGTCTAGTTAGTCTGCGTAGTCCTGAAACATGAGCCACAGATGGTGTCTGGTGCCCATAGGTGCACCCCATAGGGGGTTATTTCCGACACTAGAACCAATGTACCCAGAAACTGGTAGCTGAAGTGAAGGAGGGAGTTAATGACAGTAGTGAATTATGTAGATTGAATATGACTGTCAAAAACCCCCAAAGGAATCCCTTTCAGATGAACACAAACTGCCCCCCCTGCAAACTTTAGGCTGATTCCCTGGCCTTATTCACATTCAGCCACATTTTAATGTTTACTAAGAGGGTGCTGTGCCACTTCTGCTTGAGTGAGCACCACTAATGGAGAAACCAGTAGTCCTTCCTGAACTAGGGGATTTAAGATATATTCCACTAGGACGAGGAAGGAGGGGAAAGTGCCTGGAGCTGGCTCTCCACATAACAAACTTGTCTTTCAGATGCATGATTAAGTGCTTGCGGCTATGATCTGGCAGCTCAGAATTCTCTCATTAAGCTCATACATCAGAATCCCTTCATATACAAGCTGCAGTCATGCTACAGTCCTTAGAGTACAACTTCTGAAGGAAAACATGTGTCTGGCTCTAGTCAGCTTGACTCAGCACATCATTAAAGAGCAACTGAAGGCTGAGATTCCACCACGTCAATGGCTTTATTGGACAGACTTTGTGGGTAAGAATGTAGACTTGAAACCTATCTGGCCCTGTTTGCAAGTGGGTTTGTGTGTGGCCTTGTTTGGTTTTTAGTAGTATGTGCACAAGTACTTGTTATGGCATTTACAGAGGAATTTTGTTTGCTTGGGTACTAGGAATATCATGGGCTATGTGTGAGATATGAACTAAAACACACACGGGAGGCTTCTGCTAGTGCCTTGCTCTGGTTTGGCTTCAATTTCAGAAACACACATACATTCCCCATGTGCCCATAGGGAAGTACAGCTCATCAGCTTTCAGAAGATGGAGTTCTTGGGAGTCATGGGAAGTTGTCCCAGCTATTTGAGAAAAGCTTTGGGGAGGTTGGTTTTGGGGGTTTTTTAGGTTTTTTTTTTTTTAATGTTTGATTCTTGGCCATTTTGAGCGAAGTAAAGTTATGAAATAACTGCAAAAGGCCTTTTGTGTCCAGCCACATGAGTTCCGTTCTCTCCTCCAAAGGATTCCTCTCTTTGTAATGGTTCTTTTAAGACAGTGTACAAGTTCTGCCCAGAGACTAGCTGTGGTAAGAGGGAGTTGGAGCATGTCCTTAGACTACAGGAGAAAAGCACTGTGGTAATGCTTGGTAGTGCTGCATAACTTCTCAGCAAGCCGTGGTGTTTGCCTGGCCCGGCTGAGCTCATGGCTACAAACAAGGCTTCTGGGCACATATCCTTTGCATGTTGAAGAAAGTTCTAAAGCTCCCCAAAGTAACAGCTCTTCCCCTGCAGGCCTCACCTGCCTTCCCAAATGACTTCTCTTCTGCTGGCATGTGGAGGGAGAACTGGCATGATTTGGGACTCCTCTCACCACAGGGAGAAGTGCCCCTGGGGAGCTGAGCTGAAGCCTGCCCACCCCAGGACCAGGGGACACACATTGTCCGATAGGAGGCTTATTCTCAAAGTCACCAATGTGCAGGGTTGAAGGATGCTTTGGCACAGTTACTCTGGGTCCTTTGCATCCCCAAAGCAAGAGTGTAGTAGGACAGCAGATGTGAGCTATGGTGAGCCAATTTCACCTGCCTCCTTTGGGAAAAATTGGGCTTCTTTGGGTAGGGAACCAAAGAGGAAGAGTGTGGGGTTTTACTCTCTTCCCTTTCCAAACCCACCCTCTAAGCCTGGACACTTACTTAATGATTTTACAGTTCAGACCCTACAGACACTGCTCCTAATCCTCATAACCAGAATAGTTACTTAATTCACATTGCTGAGTCACAATAATAATGATTAGCTTATTGTGGCAACAGCCTGAAAGAAACCAATTCTACCCTTCACTGGGACTCTCCAGGAGGAATGGAAGATACATCTGGGCCATCACAGTGTTCTCAGTGGGGTTTGGACCAGTTTTCCTTTCCCATTTTGTATTATCTTACTCTGAATAGCTGACATGCTCAAGAAATATGTTTTTCCATGTATCAGATAAGTGAGGGAGGATGTAGCTCTAAACAAGGCTGGCTGACCTGTTGTATTGCCTGAGGGTGACTTGCATTCTCTGGAATTGGGTTTAAGCACAAGTTTTACCCACGCTCTCCGAGGCATCCTGACAGGAACAGGCAATACTAGCATGTCCAAGCCAAAGTACATTCTGAATCCTGTAGTTTTGTGAGCTGTGATGGCGTTTCATGCTAATACCCAGCTGACTTCCCCAGCTTCCTTTTATCAGAGTAAGCAGAGATGCATTTTCCTTCCTTGGAAATTCCCTGCACAACATTCATTGCAAACTTAACTTTCTTTTCCTTATGTCCTCTTCTGAGCAGACTGCTTCTAATCTCCTGTAAGGGGGAGAGAAGAGGAAATGGAGTGAATGGGGCAGAAGCCTGAGGTCTTAGCACTGCCAGGTGTGAAAATGAAGGATGTGTACATGGGTCAGGTTGAGAAAGTGAGATTTAAGCACCCAGGATTTTTCAGGAGAGTTACAGAATCAGTGTCCTTCTTACCAAAAGGAGAAGAAGATCCAAACGAGGCCACTCACCTCACTGAAGTGGTCCTCAAACAGGATACTGTCACCTTCAGTATGCATGATGGGAGCTGAAATAGCATGTTCCAAGTCGTAGCCAAACCACAGCTTGTTTATAATTGCCTGCAAGGAAACAAATGCCACCCTGACTATGGATATTGAATAAAAACCTGGGTTACATTCTGCCAGCCTCTGCACTGGTGTTAGGCCAGAGCAGCTCTATTGTAAATCCTGCCTGCAGGATGGGGCAAACCTGGGCTGTAAGAGGAGCTGCACTGAACCAGGACTCAACCAGCACTCAACCACAAGTCCTGCTAGAATAGTAACAGAGCACATAATGATATTGCCCAGAATGCTTTCCCTGAGCCAAAGTGCTGTCCTTGAATTCAATCTCTACTGATGGATCTTACATCTTTATACTGACAATTGTTCTTTCTGTATTCAGCTCAGGTGTTAGCATGGACTCCTTCCCCTACTTGACTCCAGGTTAAGAAAGTTAAAGTAAAAACACTTCTGTTTTTCCTCTTGCGGCCTTACCTGTGTTTTCTTGATTTCTGAACAAGATTTTTGTTAGACTTCAGCAGCAAAGTACTTCCTTTTGTTCAGGACAGGTTGTGCTCCCCTTGTGCAGTGGAAGGTACTCCTCTACAGTACCTGTTCACTCACCATACTAGTAGCACTGACAATCCAGGTTCCACCTGCTCCTCCAATCACCAGCATGTCTCCTGTCTTGGAGATGAGAATGGAAGGCACCATTGCTGAGGGAGGCTTCTCTCCTAGAGCAGAAGCAGAGTATTATTCCCCAATGTAGCTCTTAAAGGAGTTGGAGAGACACATGACTTTAGCTGCCCCGCTCTTCTTGCATTTCCCAAGGAAATGAGCTGCTGCTCATTCCTCAAGAAGCTCAAGTCTTTCAGAGAAGCAAGCGTGCTTGTGCCCAGACCCCATCTCATAGAAACTGGACCTTAATGGCACAGGCTAAATAGGCAGCATCTCTTGGTATGTATTCAACAAGACCACAAGTATTCAGGTCTTGCTGCAGCATATTCAACTCAGCTGAGGAACTGTGAGCAGCAATCCTGCCATCAGTGTTGATGTTCTCTCTCTTGGCAGACTCAGGGGATACAGAGCCTGCACATCCATCTCCTGCTCTGTGTTTCATACTGGGGGTGATAATACTCACCTGGTTTAATGCTTCTGTTTGCTGTGCAGAAATCAGCAAGTTCATTGTTTAGAATGATCCCAGTTTGGTTAGAATATACAAAAGAGCCAAACCTGCAGGGGAGAGAGGAAGCCTTTGAGTGCCCAGTGCTCTGCTGTTGTGGGTGACATTAACTGACCCAAGGTACCCTGTGGGTTATCACTGTCTCTTCCCATCCCAAAATTGCCCCAGATGGGGTATCCAAAAGGTTCTGCTGTGCTGGTGCCAGAGATGAGCTCCCTGTCACTAGTGCACATGGGGATTTGCCCAACCCACAGAAACTCTGCAGAGCTCAGCAAGTTGTTACGGTATTGAGGTGATTCTCAAAGACCTTTCCTGTCATATGGAAAAGCTGTTCACAAGTAAAGACTGCCTACACCAGCGAAGCCCAAGGGCTTTGCATTGCTGGCAAACAGCTCTTGCAGGTACACTGTGAACCTGACAAGTGGCCTGTGACACAGTTACCAGCCCCCTGGCTACTCACGGGTAGTTGATGGTGCTGGTGGCGGACACAGCACTGCCATCTGCAGCAAGCACAGAGACGTGACTTGTGCCCTTGCTTTTGTATCTGTGGCTGTAGATGGACTCCAACAAGTTGTAATGGGTAAGGGGGTGGTCACCACGGGCATCTATTCGGTGTCTGGCAAGCTCAGCAAGCTCGTCAGACAGCATGGGCCCCACAGTCTCCTGCAATGACAGCAAGGACACATAGCTTGAGTCACCAAAGGACAGGCACAGGGTCTTTAGGTCTTTAGGCATAGAGAAGCCTGGGGCATTCAGCCCCAATAGTCAGAGCTTGGGGACCTGAAGTATCCAGACCCAGCCTGAATCCCCAGGCCACTCTCAACACAGAAAATGAAGCAAGGTCGGTACTGAGGCATGTAAACACTGGCAAGAGTATGTGCACATCCCTCATCAGGCAAGGGAGCACCAGCCTATGGCTGAACAGAAACTGCAGACAGAGTAAATGGCCTAATCCTGCCTCTGCCTTGGTCAACTGAGCTGCAGTGCTCTTGCCTAGCAGTTCTGAGTAGTTTCTTTCCTCCCATGGCTGCAAAGCAGGACAGTTAGCACGTTGCTTGGTAGTGTGTGTTGGCAGGCAGGATAGGCAGCCTGCCTGAAGCCTAAGCACATAGGCTAAAATGAGTTGGTGATGATGCAGGGTTTAAAAAAGAAAACCAGGAGGTGGGATTTCCCTGCTCCTTCTCTGTTCAAGCAGCAGTGTAGAAGAAGCTGTCAGTGCTGTGGGTGTCTGTCGCTGCCCCTTTGTACCATGCCAGCTTACCTGAGCTTCAGAAAAGGCTGGGTCACGCATGCTGGATTTAAGCATGTTGCCAAACTTCAGGGCCTCTGCGATGCGATGGTAGGTTTCTACCGTCTCCTCGGGTGTTGCTAGTGATGCTTCATGGAGCTTATACTCTATAGAGTACGATGAGATAATTTTGTTAGAGTCAAGGCAATAGGTTTGTTAAGAACTCTAAAAACAAAATTGAAAGGCACCTCCTTTTGCCATCCCAGGTCTTACCAAGTTTTCCCTGCGCTTTAGCAGGATGTGGATACAGAGGCAACCTAGTACTAATTTCTGCTGTGACTTAATCCTTGAAGCCGTGGAAAAATTGTGCATCCTCTGGCCTTTGCAGCAGCTGTGGTGATGCTGATACACGGTAAAAATGAGCCAGGCCATCATCCCACTGTACAGCATGGTCATGCTGCTGTTTTGGACCCATTAGCGCTCACCAGCTCCATTTCTGCCCAGGACTTCGCTACTGCTCTAGAGCAACACTTTGCAAACCTTGTTTTGTTCTCTTTCCCTTAGGACTTTACCTTCCAGTATCTTGAGGATGAACATGAGCACAGCACCTCCCATGGGTGGTCCAGGAGAAAACACTGTGGTGTGGTTGTTCAGGGTGATGTTCAGAGCTGAGGACACCTCTGCTTTGTATGCCTTAAGGTCCTCCAGTGACAGGCTGGACCCTTCAACAGAAAACTAGATGGGTAGCTGGCATTAGCACATTATCTTCTACCATCTACCTACTATGGGCTGGCTACACCAGAGACTTGGTAAAGCTTCTAAAGAACCATGCCTCTATGCTCCCAACTATCTCCCACCAAGCACAGCAATGTCTTCTTCATGTGTCCTCACCTAACACCAAATTCCAGGACAGCACAAAGCCTAAGTTGGATAGGCCAATGCATGAGCACTGTGGGTGAATGACAGAGCAGTAGCTTTTAGTCCTGCTTCTATGCCCGAGTTATAAGAAGTGGGGAAAGGTGGCCCCTTCCCATGCCAGCTACCATCCCAAGTGGCAAGTGAATGGCACATGTTGGCTCTCCCCTCATACTGACTCACTGTTAGCCAGCTGCTGGGAAAACACTGGTCTGTTAGCATTAACTACATCTGGTACCTACCAGCTTTCCTAATGTCCTCCACCAGGGCCTTTCCTATCTGTCCCTCATAAAATGCTGTAGCTCCGTTTTCTGCTACAACCGTCAGTGTTTGCTGCAGTGCTGGCCACCTGAAGGTCTCTCCACGCTTCAAAAACCTCTGACCATCACAAAGGAGTGGGCTGTTAAAGAAAAACATCCATCAGTTTTCAGCACATGCTTACTCTGTCCTCAGCACCCATCCCTTTTTCCTACCCAATGATGTTGTCTTTTAAAAACCCAGTTCTGTTCCCTCCCTCCCCATAGCAAGCATTCACTGAGCAGAAGCCTGTGCTCCAAGTCAGCATGCCAGAGGAAGGGTCTGATGCTGAGGGAGCAGTGGTCCTCACGCTGCAATTTAATTTGTGGGTCTTACCACAGGCTTTTTCCTAGAGTGGCAAAGGCTGGGTGATGAATAAACTTCTCCATAACTGGGGAAATGACAAGTGGCTCTGAAAGGACCTTGATGGTTGGTTCAAACAGGGCTTTCCATGGTAAGCGGCCGTACCGCCTATGGGCTGCTTCATACCCCCGAAGTTCTCCTGGTACAGCGATCCAGCCGGGACCTGAAAGCAGAGCAAGTGTCACACAGTGACAGCCCTGAGGTTTCACCTCCCTGAAAGCAGTCCAAGGGAGGCGTGGATTTGTAGAGGCAACTGAGACTTCTAAAAGCAGGCTTGGTTTTTTCACTGTCTATCTTTTTCTGTTTGTACATTCTTCTGCTTCCTAATAGAAGGGGTATAGAAAAGCCAGAGCCAGACTCAAAGGAGCACAGTGAAAGCACAATGTTGCAGCAAGAGAAGTGGGAGCTGGATGTAAAAGAAACAGCACTACATGGAGCCTTCACTAGAAGAAGTGAAGCTGTTAAATTGTCCATCCTTGGAAAAAGCTAAACACTGTGACAGAGCAAGGCCCTGAGCAGCCTGAGCCAGCTCTGACATCCATACCCCTGCTTTGAGCAGGAGATGGAGCAGAGACCTCCAGCTGCCCCTTCCAACCAGAGCTGTTCCTGAGTCCTTCTTTCAAGGAGAACATCTCCTCCAGCAGCTAGGGCACACCCTGGAAGAAAATGTGCTAAGGAGGGAAAATGAATGCAGCAGGAAATGTGGAGAGATCCAAGATGTGCTGCTCAAGCGAGTGCCTGCTGCCAAACTAGTAATAGCAGATGGACGTGGAGCTTCCTGGGATGGGAGTAAGGTGGCAAAGAGGTAGCTGAGCTAAGCTAGAGCCCAGCAGTCCCACTCCTGATGCTGCCAGGTTGCTTCCCCAATGTGAGGACACGGGCAGCCACACTAGATTGATTTTTTTGCTTCATTTCCAGAAAGTCAGAAATGCTATTGACACATTTTTCTCCATAGGAACTGCTGGGAAATGAGTGCTTTGGGAAATCTGGTCTTCAAATGCAGACTTCCTATGAAGTTATAATGTTATGTTCCCATTTCTCTTCCTGTCATGCTCCCCACGCTCCCTGCTGGTCAGGTTGCCAATGCTACGTAACAGGCATTTTATGGACCTAGCATTTTAATTACTTTTGCAAAAGTAAGGAAAGAAGACCCAGGACATGAACAATCCATTAAACAGAGCTTCACGGGGGCGGGGAGGGGGGGTCAGCAAGGTCCTAGGTCCCCCTACCCTGAGCTCTGTGACACAGCCCTCATGGCCCACTCTGTGTCCTTACCAACAGGGAAACCAGCAGTGCAGCCAGACAGTAAGTTGTGTGGAAACACTCGTGGGACCGTCTCACGGGCGTTGATCACCTCCACTGTTCCTAGGAAGGAAAAGGGGGGATACATAACATTGTCCTCCTGGAGCGGGTGAACATTGCTTTTCAGCAAGCTGTGGGCCCATGGGGTTGAACTGCTCTGGAGCCCTTTGCCAATGGGCCATGCACACTGCAGGGACAGGCTGCGGTCGGCACACAGTCATCTGCACCCACGATTTTAGTTACAGCACAGCAGTGCCTGCCTGGAGGCAGCAAAGGTACAGGAACAAGGCCAGAGCCTGTCTCCAGACATTCAAGGTCCCCTCCAAGCTCTTGGGCCTCGGACATGGGTTGGGATGTGCTGCTTCACATCTGATTTGCAGGTTCCTGACTTCCTCTACATGTGGGACATGTCAGAGACGTAACGTGAGCCTCATGCTCCTTATTGGGCCATTTTGCAAGGAATGGTGAGGTATGTCCATCATGTTTATAAGCAGAATGAAGACACCCAAAGATCCTCTATGTATCAGGAAGCTTGAACAGAAAAAAAACCCAATGCCCTTTGTATTTCAGGTGTTATTTCACCTCTTTCTCTGCCTTGTACTTATATTTTTCTATCACAGTGCACAGAGGCAGCTGTGCTGCAGGAGCCCATAGAGCTACCTAGCTTACCAAGCACCTGAGCTGTGCATGGCCATGTGCAGCTCTGGGCAGCAGGATACTACAGGTAGCACAAAAGGAGTTTTGGTAGGGGACAAAAATACATAGATCTGCCAAAAAGGAAAAAAGAACAATACAGGTGTTTTGCCAAATGATGCTATTGTGTAAGAGCCACACAAGCACTTCCAGACCCGTGACTCTGTGAGGCTCCTTGGCAGTGCTTTTAAAACCACAACATTGTTACTGTGTCCGTTGTTGATTTTACTGTTTAGATCAATCAGCTCGGGGGGCTTTGGGGAGCCAAGACAATTAAAAACCTCCACCATTAAAAACATAGACGCAAGATCACAACACTAGGAGTTAAGCCAAGCACAGAAAGGCTCCCAGCAGGCCCTGACCATTGCTACATTGAGATTTCTGAAACCAGAATGCATCTCTTGGGTCAGAAAGTCTCACCAAGACTTTGGGGAGTCCTACCCCCACCAGTGAGGGCAGAATGGGCCCTGAAGTCCCAGCCCAAGGGCTCAACTGAGCCCTCAACCCCCTCACATTGCTGCACACACCTCACCCTGTTGCCACCACCCCAGCAGCAGCTCAGCACCACTCACACCTTGCTGCACTGTCAGCTATATGACTTGGAAATATAATTTAGGATTGCTTTGTGGGGGAAAGCGACGCAAAGTCAGTTCATTTTACATCCAAAGCTCCTTGCCCCCCTGCCATGTTCTTGCTTCAAAAAGAAGATGCGCTCCCTGGAATGGATGTTTGGGTTAGGAAAAGTTTGTGATCAGAGAATGCAGCTTTTATATCCAAAAAATTGCTCTGAGAGAACTTGAAGGATTTTGACTTCTCCATGGCAGCTGTGTGTCTGCAAGGGAGACGGGGCTGGCCCTTACCTTTGCTGGCATTATAGATGGTAAATACAACCCCACCACCCAGGCCTGAACTCTGAGGGTTCATCACCGAGGTGCAGATCAAGGCAGCGATGGCAGCATCCACAGCTGAGCCTCCACTTTTGAGGATGTCCCTGTGGTAGAAAGAGAGAGAAAAAGGGTAACATTAAAATCCAGGAATGACAGAATGGAGGAGCCACACGAAAATGGTCCCCCTGGGGCACTTGAAAAGCAGCCCCTGCTTGACAAGAGTAACTAGCAGTAGGAGAAAGGTACTGGCAGCAGTGTGGGGGGTGAGAGCACAGGAAGGCACCTTCCTCTGTGGGAGTGAGAAATCAAAATTAGTGGAAAAGAAGGGGGAGTCTGCAGGGCTAAAGAGCAGGTAGGGACCAGACATGTGTGAGGCTGCTCTTCCTCTGGGCAAAGAGTAATGGGAGCCAGCTGCAGCCACTCACCAATGCTGCTGTCAAAAAGAGATAGCAAGGAGCTCCCAGGCGTGGAGGAGAACTCTCTCAGCAGAGGAGACAGCTTTCCACGTGCTGGGACCCAAATAACTGGTTTCTAGCTCTCCAGCTACCATTTCCAATAAAAAGGACTATGCTGGTCAACAGGACAGGGGCACTGAAGCAGGAACCATGGGTCCATGTGAAAAGCAAACTCCTGAGACTTTACATGTGAATTAGCACAAAATTCAGGCCTCACTTCATTGCTCCTACTTTCTGCACTTATGTGATACTAGCACAAATATCCCACTCCCTCCCTGTATCCCCAAAGCCAAAACAAGCACCAAAAAAACAAGTAGGAAAAACCTCAACTCTTTCTACCTAGGCACAGGCACACCAAAGAATAAACTGGCATTAAGGCAGCCTCATGAGTTTCTGCTGGAGAAACATGTCTTAGCAAATACTTCCCTCAAGCACAGCTGAATCATCTCCTTGCAGTGGAAGGACATGGAATCATTTCCTTGCTGTGGAAATGAGCTGGGGTGGGGTTTCCTTGCACAGCCTGCCTGTAGCCAGTATTTGCTAGGAAGTTTTCTGGCTGAATTGGGATATTACTTAGATAATGCACAGCCAGAAGGAAAAGTGGAATAGTTCATTAACTGCAGTGCAACTGCTCCCAGCAGCTGTGACGGAACACAGCGTGCACATAGGGACTGCTGTTTATTTTATATGCATTGATGCTGGTGGGACCTGCTGGGGCTGGGAACAGGATGCTGCCAGAAGGCACACTGATTGTGGCTTTCCTTTGTTTCTCTAAGCAAGGGCCTTTAGAGCCATTGCCTGTAAGGAAATGGACAAGTGGGACATCACCAGGCTTCCTGTTTGGTGTCCGCATGGCTTTCAGCCTCCAGAGCTCCCTGGCTGTACTCTGAAAATGGAGACTGAGGCTCAGGCTCACCCATCCGTCTCCTCGCAGCAGGGGTAAGAGTCTCACCACATGAATGTCCCTGGGTGGTGTTTTCCTGAAACTGCAGCTTTTTAAATGATAACAATAGAAGGGAAAGACATGAGGGCTTCCCTTAGGAAGTGAATGACCCTGCAGAAGGCCCAGACAGCATGTTAAAAGTTGGGGAAACAGGGCAGAAGGACCACAATGCTGGCCCAGGACAGTGCTCCCCAGGGACCCTGGCCTATGTACAAAGCCTTGTGCCTGGGAAAACCAGAGTTCTGAGGTAATCTGCAGTGAAAAAACAATTCTCAAAAGAAATTGCAAGGCTGTGTTGTATTCATTTCAATGCAATGTATGAAGACCTTAACACGGAACATCAGACACAAAGCCTGAAAAGCATCAGATGATTCTCACTCAACTTCCCAGCCACATTCCCTCTGAAGTGGGTGCCATACACAGCTCACCATGTCCCCAGAAACGCTTGTGCCTGAAGGAGCACTCCCTGATGAAGATCCTCACCCCTTCTTGTGTCATCTGCTGATGGCTCTGAAAGATGAGTTTTTCCCTCTCCCCCCACTGATTTGCACCAAGCCAGAATGCTCTGCACTGGAACTGCATTAACTTAGCATGTCCTAAAGGGTGGCCACAGTTACCAATTTATTAGTTTCACATTCACACACTTAAATGGCCTGTTTCTGACATATTTTTGTTTCCAAGTATTTGTTTCTAAAAGCAACACTGTGGACTAAATAACCTTTAACTACTGCAAATGTAGTGCACACGCACAAAGCATACAAACCTGAGAGTTTCTGAGCATGACCTTCTCTGTGCTCCTGCCCTCCAAAACTCCCAGTTAGACACAGAGCCAGGATAACACAAGCCGTGTGAACTCCAGTTGTAGCTGTGCCTTTGGCTCCCACTGGGATCAGGGAGGACAAATGGGGTCTGAGTCTCAGCAGAAAAGGTGTATTTACGTGCTAGAGAGAGCACAAAACCTCTCCAGGGAGCTCAGACATGGACAGTTACTGACTGCCCTTGGCAAAAGGCACATAGATTTCCTGAGAGCATCAAGGAACAAGTGGGAAGAGGACTTTCACCAGCCACCAGAGGGACTTCAGCAGCGCTGCCAGAATGGACACATCCTGCCTGGCACAGCCGAGGCAAAGCAAGTGTTTCTTGATGAGCAGTGATTACTCCAGGGTGTTAATCCACTCAATTGTTTTCAGAGGGGTCATGCCCCCAACACTGGCACTGTGTCTGCCTCAGAAAGGCAGGAAAGCCAGCAACAGGCTTTATTGCTCCTGCTCTGTAACCAGCACAGCAGCAACTCCTTGGTGCTACACCTCACTGCAGTGAATCCCATCAGTGGCAAAAAGCACTTTTCCTAAATCTCTCCGTGGACCTATGCTGACTTTTGCTTCTGCCAGCTGGAAAACAAACAGATGCAAAGCAGTGCATGGCAGAGCTCAAACAGTGCATCGGTAGGGAATATAAAGCTTTTTGTGTGGCTGATGGAAAAAGCTTCTTCCATTGCCAGGAGGTAAAGCTGCTAAGGTAAAGGACGGTTTGGGTACTAATTCACTGCCAGGGCAATCACCTCCTGTCTCCTCATGTCTTGACATGAGGACAAAATACTGAGGTGGCCTTTCATACCAAATGCACATCCTTGTGACAAAAACTGCTCTGGCTCTCCTTTTAGCTTCCAGTCCCTCTTCATCAAAGAAGTGTTTCACTTCACCCAGAGACAAGTTATCTTCCAGCACAGGGCCCCTGTCTGGACCAGATAACTGCACAGTATTGCTTTCAGTTCCCAATCCCCAGTAGGAAAACCATTCACAGCAGAAGAGCCAGCCTTGTTCAACACCGAATATTGGGCACAGTTGCCTAAGGGCAATTCTAGCACAGGATCTGCCAAGAAGCATGCTGACACACTGGAGGGTTCTTGAGATTGCTCACTTCCTGCAGAGAGCCAGAGCTGCATAAAGATTTCAGAAAGTCGAATTTACAAACACCAATTCCAGAGCTGGAAAACCCAAACCTGAAGATGACAGCTGAGCATAACTAAAGAAGAAGAGCACCAAACAGTGACTGCTCCCCATCTCCTGTTCGGACTAAAGAGTTACAGAGCCACACAGTTCTTTTACTGACCCTTCCTTCACAGCTGAACTACCAGTAAGGGAAACACATGGGCCCTGAGGTGCTTCTCTGAAACCACCACCCCCCTCGTTAAAGGACAGATTGCTCTTTGGGCAAGAGGTCCGGTTCTGTTATTCTCGAGAAGTTCAACTGGAAGTGCTATTAGGAGAGCACTCAAAAGACTGCCTTACACAGCAGCATCTTAAACCAACACTGTATCATGTAATGCCCCAGGAATTTCATTGCTGCTGCTGACAACTCACAGAGCATGTGGTTTGGGTTACTTTTTTTGTAAAAGAAACAACATTTTTTAATTAAAGAATAAAATTTGTAAGTAGGTCAGAGGTCAGGTGCTACTTTAAGCTTAGACGGTAGGTGCTGGACCAGTGTGATTTGGTTCATGTCCATCATGCAGTGGAGGTTCCTGGGATCTGGGGGGATTTGCAGGATAAAAGGGGTGGCTGCAGGGTCCCAGCAGAGAGAGCATCTGCAGGGGCAGCAGGGGAGAGCAGGGACAAACCAGCACTGCTGGATCACCCTGTGCTGTGCCTGAAGGGACTGGCTGCAATGTCTCCTGCTCTCGCCAGCAGGCAGGCAGGCTCACAGGTTCAGTTACAACATGTGGTTTTCATTTGGTTCCAGCTTTGCTAGATTGAAGCCACCAAGCCTCATTTCTTTCCCCCAGAGCTGGAGGCTGTATGCTTCCACTGAAACCACTCAGTAATTACAGAAAAAATTAGACTGAGAAAATTTGCCGGTTTGCCTGATTTTACTTGATTTAAGCTCCTCTAGAAAATCTGTTCGGAGGCTCTGCAGTGTGCAAGTACAAAGTCAGAGGTGTAGTTTGCCTTCAGTTCAAATAATTCACTCTAATTTAATGCACATGTGTGGTCATCAGTGGATTAGCCATTTTTGGTGATTTCTAAGCAATAATAGTGGAAATGAGCCTGCTCTAATCCCCAGCTGCAGTGGCTAGCACAGCTTCCTTTAAAAAGCTGCATCTGGTAACAGCCATGGCTTTGGGACATGGAAAAAAATGAGGAAATTCTTATCCCTGGTGTTCAGTGCTCCCCAGGCTGGTCCATGAGCAAGGAGTGGCCATGTCCTGCCTCAAAGAGAGAGGAGGTGGGAGAGGAGTGAGGTGGCAGAGCTGTGGAGCAGGATCAGGGCAGAAGAAAGCCCGTAATGTTGAGCAGTTTAGCAGTGGGGTAATGGTGCGATGGTAGGATGAGAAGACCAGAAGCAGTGACTGCACAGACTCACACACCAACACAGGCTCCTGCTTCTTCACTGGAATTAAATTGCAAATGAAGTGGCAGCTCATGGGGACAACAGGGTCTAATGGCTAAGACTACTCTGAGAAAGTGGATTTTATTGCTACAACTGTGACAAAATTCCTATATGATGCTATAATCTTGTTCAGCGAAGATTAGAGAGAAGGCTACTATATGCTTCTCAGCTCCTGATGCTCCCATCAAGACCTTTGGATCAGGCTCAAGGAAGCCCTCCCCCTGCAGTCACACAGGAGGTCAGTGCAAGAAGTGCCCTGAGCAGCACAGATTGCTCTGAAAGGCAGAGGCTGTGATGTGGTACCCAGCCAGTACAAGTGCCATGCTAGACTTCCTCATTTATACTTATTTATATTGCTTTGAGAATTAATTTAGTGGTGACTACTATGTGCTAACAGCTAAGAACTAAAATGCAACATAGAGATCTAACAGCACAGAAATGTCTGGGAGAAATTAACAAGATTACATTGAGTACAGAGCATGTAGGAAGCTTCCTCCAGCCACTACTATGGACCAGTAAGGACAAAGAGAGAAATATGCCAATGACAACGAAAAGGGCAACCACACAAAGTGTCTGACCACAAGATCTGTTGCAGAGGAACACTTTCATAAATGAACAGTTTTATTATGATCTGTTGCAAGAACATGAGCAGATAGCTCAAGGTGGGAGGACAGCATAGGAGCTTGGTTCATTCCAAGCAAAAAATGGGCACACAGGTTTCCAGGAATGGCTGGAGGTGAAGGATAGCAGGAAAAGCAGCAGACAGCACGCAGCAACAGGGGAGCAGAGCTAACCACTGGGTGGTATGGAGAACCAAGGTGAATAGTGTTGGCTGGGGAGATCCAGGGGGCATGGAAGGGCTGGGGGAGAGAGCTGATACATTTGGAGCGTGATACATCAGGACACGATGTGCAGATGCCCCAGGCTGGGGAAAAGGGGGAAAAATGTGGAGCAAGGGCAGAATTTTGTGGAGATCATTGACAAAGTATTTGTAGGAAACCTAAGGTGGTCCATCAGACTGCAGGGACACAAATGGACCTTGTCAGCAAGTGCTGGAGGCACAGCTACAGCAATGGTTGAGATATTACAGAGAGAAGAGATGCAAACAGATGACAGCCCAACAGCAGGAGCCAGCTAGCCAAAGCTTATCAGTTGTCCACCTGATCACAGATTTCTGTAGCTCTCACTTCAGTGCCTTCCAGCTTATTCTACAATACTTCAAGTTAAGTAAATTCCGATAGCTGCAGAACAAGTGCTGTGGTTTTCCCAGCAGATTCTTTGAGTAATCCAGTAATGTATTTTCCTCTATTTCCATTAATACAAACTTAAAAGATACTTATTCTGCCCTCTGAAGAACTAACCTGTGGCTTAGCATAAATAAACCCATGTGCAGCCACGGTACATTTTCTCCAACTACTCAGAAATGCTGTGCCAACACATCATTGCAAGAACACACGTGTGACATGGCCTAACGGCACCATGCCTTACCTCACTCCTCCAGCGACAAGGCAGAGCACACAGCTCAGAGCACACATCCATTGCTGGAGCATCCAGCATGTAGCTTGTGAAGTTCCATCCTTCTACTTTCATACATAAAAGCATTTAAGAACTGAAGTAATTAATAACATAGGAGACAAAATGTTTGAGAGGGAGATTGCTACAGTACAGGTTGCTACAGGTCTTATGACCTGCACAACTAGAGTATTTTTTAAACCTACATATTTCCTTCCAAGAGACAAAGTAAGTCTTTTGTAGTTACTCTGTCTTAAACCTGCTCTGTGCTTTCCAATACAGTGTCTTTTGTCATAGCAGACACACCTGCTGCAGGCTACAGTCCTTAAACACACCCCCTAAAGGGTGGGATGCCCAGTCCCCCTTACCCTCCCAGCTGCTGCTCTCTACTTGCTCCTCTCACTTCTTCCTTAGTTTATTCCTAAGCCACTTATCTGACAGACTTACCACCATGAAGTAAACAGTTCATTTCCTGCTTTCCCACTTAAAAACAACATTGTATTTGTATATTGTAAATATTTGTACCTTCCAGAAGACCATTGGATTGCAGTGCTGCAAATTTCTGTGGCATGGGATAATGAAAATAAGCAACAGTCACAGAGGCAGAACTCCATCTGCTCTCTGAGCGGCTCCACTGCAGACAGAGAATACCCACGGAGCAGCACTGTTGCTTAGCCCCAGAAGTGGGGACAGGGCAGAAACTCAGCTCACTCCCATGGTTAGTAGTGTCCTGTCAGTCCAAGTCCACAACATACACAACAGATAACCCGCAAACCCGAGCGGTCCATGCACATACCGGCCGATGACAGAGCAGGTCTCAGTGTCAGCAGCCACGGCGCCGTGCAGGTACTGCTGAGGACCACACCTGGGTTGAGTCAGGATGACCACAAGTGTAAGAACCACAGCCAGCACCCCCAGGGTCAGCAGCACCAGACAACAGACCTTCCCCGTAGACATCTCTATTCCGATGCTGCCGGAGGCAGCTGGGAGGTTTTTACTCCTTTGTGAAGGCGCCTGCTTTGCTCAGGGTGGAAGTAGAGGATCCCGGCGTGTTTGGAGGGAGGTCCCACTGAAGTGGGCTCTGCCCTCTGCCACTGGGAATTACACTTGCTTAAAGAGTAAAAGCTGCTAAAAAGGAAGCGGCGTACTCCTTCTTTCCTGCTCCCTTACACGTGAGAAGCTTTTCACTCTCTTTTGTAAACGAAACTTTTTCTGGCATATCCACCATGTGCCTTTTTTTTTAAGGCTCTGATGAAAACATTTAACACATTCACTGCTGGAGCACCTTAAAGTGAAATCTCTACATGGCTTACTGGCTTCACACAACTTCCCTGTCTTCACAACCTTACCACATAGAGCAGATCACCAAACAAAGGCAGCCTACATGGTGAATCACTGGGAAAACTGTACCAATCCTACACTGGCATTGCATAGTTGGGGAATTTTCTTTCCATAAGACTACTCAGAGAAGTAAAAGCTAAATACAAAGCCATAACCTTCATATTTACTCTTATTTTACTTTACAGTTTATTATAATCTTGCTTATTTTATCCATCATTAAATCTTGACACTGTCCACACCATGGATCTTCTGTAAATGAACATAACAGAATGCCCTGAATAAAGCAGCACACCTCTGCACAAAACATTCAGGCTAAAAACTCTGAGATCCAGTCTGTACCAGTCAGCAACCACAGCACCCAGGAAGTGAACAGCTGCTCGATAAAACCAGACCCAGTTTCTAAAAGAGCAACGATAGGCAGCATGTACTGCTACACAGTGCAAATGGGCCCAGTTAGCTCAAGAGCCTCTTAATTATACAGTTCTCCTTGCACTTCAAAAGCAAAAGATATGGCTCCAAATCTGCCTTCTGTCTTTCTAAAAGATGTTGTCTGAAATCCTTTTCCAGCTGGATTTGGGAGAAGGGGAATCACCTGTGCAGATTCACACTTGCATTTCACTGCAGACTGAACTTGTACTCACTAAAATTTCTCATAGCTAAGTAATACTATTTCATGTATCGTATCTCAAGAAATGGATCTAATAGACTAAACTGTCCTTTTGTAGTTGTATCTTCCTGTAAGGTTATGTTGGGGTGCTGAGAATGGTCCAAGAAAAATACATTGGTTTGTCTGAGATAAAACCATGGTCCCTGGGGAAAAACGTGGCTTCTCCATCTCTGTCTGACTTGGCAAATATACTTGGCATGTGCAAAAGAGCCTCCACAGCTCTAATGTGGCTCTATTTCACCTCATTGTGAAACACTGTTAATCTTGTAAAATGTCTCAATTCCTATAAGACTTCCACATTTTATTTTTGACAAACTACTCTCTAACACTTAAATAATCATCATTCTGGTGGCTTTTTTGGGGGGGAAGCTCTTCCCTTTCAAGTCACATCAGTGCTGGAAATCCTGACCACTCAGTACCAGCAGACTCAAGGCTCAAGTCGATTTTACACATTTACTTTCATCAAATGCCATGGAGAACTCAATTGCAGTCTTTTCCATCAAATTCGGGTTTCAACTCAGCACATCAAACATCTGTATCTGGAAAATTAACCCTTGTGCTGCCAAGGAGGACATCTGGAAGAGGCAAGAAAAGTAAAAGAGAACATCATCTCCCAGACCATGCCTGGGAAGGCAAAGACTTGGTTATGATCTATTCTAACAGATGCTCTCACAGGCAAACCCATTTGTCTTTTAGATATATAAATGAAGACTGAGCCTCATCTCTTCCAGTGTGTAACCTTTACAGTCCTGTTGGTGCAACACTCAACTTTGACCATATTATGCTACAGAGTCTACACTGACCCTTCCATGTGAGAGGCTACTTAGCTCTCTTGGAACTCAGGTATTTACTGACCCTTACAGGCCAAGATATACTCAAGGACATTCTAATTAGAATTGTAATTATTAACAGAATCATCATTTATTAACTAATAAATAGGCACAGTATCTTTAAATTGCCCTTTCTGTTGTTGGGGTCCTGTAACATCTTTGTCCAAATCTTCAATCAAGAAACCAAATTTGAAAATTATTTAAAATCTGAAGTCCAGGCATTGATAACATTGTCATGAACACCACAGCTACTTCATGGAGGGTAAGAAGTCATCAAAGGATAAAAGTCCTCGGGTTTTAAGAGCAGAGGATAAATTACTACTTGAAGGAGTTGGGAAGAAATTCTCTTTGAGGGTAGATTATTGCGGAGATATTGAAGAGTCTTGACCATTGGGCTTAGTTGGTGGAGACAGTACATGGACAGCCTAATCCCATCATGTCGTGACCAAAGGGACCAGGACAGGCTTTGGAGGCACCAGGAGCTTCTCCTTCAGCTTTGCTGGGAACAGACTGCACCTCTGCTTGTTTTGGCAGCAGTGTACTGCACTAAGCCAATGTAATTTTACCTCAAATTCCAACATGTTCTTGACACAGAGCTACTACCTGTGGAACTTGATTCTCTGACATTGAAGATGGTTTCAGAAGATGACTGGTTATCAGTCATGTTTGAGGAAAAGAAAGCTGGTTGCTGGTTGAAAACTGCCCCTCAAAACCAGCCTTAGGATCTAGCAGGTGAAGAGACAATCCCAAAGAGCACCAGCATCTACATGGGCTGCATGCATGCTTTTCATTCAGCAGAACAAAGATGGAGATGCAAATCAAGGAGCCATCTGCAGGAGTCATGACAGTCCAGGGCCCGGCTAAAGAAACCAATGTTGCTGCCTTGTCTGCAGCAAAAGAGTAGGTCTGTGGTATGAACAAACCTCCTCTTCAAGAACTGTGTTTTCTCCATGCATCCGTGCTGCTTTCCAGTGTTTGAGATGAAGAAAAGAACATCATTGGACAGAAAGCCAGACATGTGTACTTAAAGAAAAGCTGACTAATATATTGACTCTCAATTTATCACTCTCCATCTCATCTTTTAAAAATATAAACTATATAAGAACCCTATGTACACACCAAATTCATGAGGCATTCTCACGCCAGTGTCCTAAACCTCCTTTGCTTCTGTCTGTACAGTGTCCAAATTACATTGCAACATACTCAAGAGGATGCCTCGAGAGGAGAAGCAGAAACTGGTGTTTGCTTGCAAAGCATTGTCTACAGTCACCAAGCTCTTACTGTAATAAATAAGAGCCTTTCCCAACTCTAAACAATTGGACAAGAGTCTAGGAAAGTTTCCAAGAGCATGCAACCAAAAGACAAACTGGGGGTATTTCATGCACTGTTTGCCTCCAGTCATGTTATTTATAATCCAGGAATATAGCTTTGTCTCCAGATGATAACTGAATTACGAAAAACATAGGAAACATGCTGGGAATTTACTGTTCAAATCTTCTAAGAGACATGGCTGTGAGCTCCACAGATGTTGGTGCTCATGATCCATTTGTCTCAGTACAACCATTCAGAAACTAGAGAAACACTAACCTTTGTGCATTGTTTTCCTTTGCACACAAAGAAGTTTTCTTTACTGAGGGACATGGGTTTGCTCCCACAAAACTGGTTTGTATAGTTTTCAGACATCTGGAAAAACAAATACTCAGAAACCGGAAGCTCTGGTACTGAAGAATTTCTCATTAATTTCTCTTTCCTCTGTTATTTCTCAGAATTCATTATGAAAGTGAAGCACAGAAACTCCTCTGCTTCTTTTATTACTGAAATCAGAAAAGAGAAACATGCTCTAAAATTACTCATGGACGCATGCTTCACTGAGATTAACATTTAAGTACCTGCTGAATGAAGGCTTTCTGGTTTTTCTTTCAATTTTAAAGCATGCCAGGGAACAACTCTCCTGGTTCTAGCTGAGAAACTTGGCAGTACTTCATCCCAGATCTTCGAAACACACTTCTAGCTGCTGCTGTAATGGTTAAGTGCATTTCTCTTACAATCCCTAAAAGAGTTTGAGGGTGATCACCTAACTGGTGTTAGGAGCGCAGTAGTTGGGCAGTGATGGATAACTTGGAGGGAGCAAACCTCTATCTTGAAGAGGACATGCATCAAGAACCCAACACTACTCTGGCACTATTTTCCTCCGCCACACTAACTTTCAGTTTGCCACTGTGTGGGATCTCTGCAGGCTATGAGCATAACCAAAGGGAAAGCACTTGAACAGGACAGTCACAGAACATGCACCATTCCTCACATAACTGAAACCAAAAATGGGCCTAGCCAAATCTCAGGGACTACTCTGTGTAATTTTCCCAGGTTAAAAGCAGACCTGCTGCCTCCTCCTTCCTTTCTTGCTGGTTACAAAGTCATGGCTGAAAGAAATGCTCTGTCCAACCCAAACCTAAACATCCTCTATTTTACAATTCTATCAACATATAGAAAGTCAACTATTTGCATGGCTCTGTTTAGCAGGACACATGGCACAGACCACTGCCCAAGGGAAACTTTTCTCCATTAACTTTATTTGATGAGCACATCTACGCACAGTTTACTGCACAGCATCAGCATTTTATTCTTTCTCTAACAGTGCAGCTATGCTCAATATTATATTAACAGTGAAACCTTCTCATTCAGTCTTTAATTCTTGGGTGCTCCTCTGGAGCAAATCCAGCAGTTTTCTTAAAGACTAAACCTCATTAGTACAATTACTATAGCAGCTGAAAGTATTGACACTAGAAAACAAAAGGGAGCTTTGTGTGCATCCAACGACATCAACAGTAAACTCTGTCTGAACTCTGTATTCACTAAATAAGGACAAAGTATTATGTTATTCATCCCAAGGGATATCTGTGGAGGCTTTTACCTCACATGAAAATACTAAACTCACAGAAGTACTAAACAGAACATACTTATAGTTACATGCACCTGTACCTGAATGTAATAATATACACCTATACAGCTGCCATCATATGCTTTATAAGATCTCCATAAACCACCATCAGTGGAATAATGATTCACTGCCATGCTCAGTTCAAGTTACCTGGATCAGGATTTGCTCACTGGGCCCCGTGCAGCCTTTGGAAGGCCTTTGATCTGCACAGAGCACAGCACAAAGCAGCAGGAGCACAGGATCTCTTGTGAAGGGCCTGGACCTGCAGCAGGAGCCAGGCCATGAGCCATAATGTGCTCACACTGCAAGCCTGGCCAGCAGACACTGGACTCCTTGAGATGTGTGGTCAACACATCAGTGGAAGTTATTATCTTTTCCAGGCAGCACCTGAAATACTGCATCTGTCGTAAAAGCTCAGCCCTGAGAGCTCAGGAGGGCATGAAC